CACAAGGGGGGGGGGGCGGGTAGGAAAATTATTAAAACTTTGGGGGTTTTCTTTTTGTCCCAAAAGGGGGGGAGGCGGGGGGGGGGGGGGTTGGTTAAAAAGTTTGGGGGGGGGGCCCAGAGTTTACCCCCTTGCCAGCCGTTCTTTGGAAATTTTTTGGGGGGAAGGGGGACTCGGGGATTTTTTAAGATAAAAAATATCCCCCCGGGTTTGGTTTTTAATCCCAACACCGGTTTCCCCCAAACGGGGGGGTGGGGGTTGGGCCCCCAAACCTTTTGTGGGGAACCAAAAGCAAATTCCCTAAAAGGAGTTATAATTCCCCCCCCCCCCCCCCCCCCCTGAAGAGTGATTTTCAAAGCCCTATGGCTCTACAGCAGAGACATCTGGGGCGCCGAGGCTCTCGTCGGGAAGACAGAGGCAAACGCCATGGGTCACGTATGATCACATCCCCTGAAGCGATTTTCAAAGCTCGATTACTCTACAGCAGCAGAGAGAGGGAGTAGTGGTGCGTACAATGGGGGTATTAATAACGTCTCGCCGGGAGCTTTCGAGATATGTGTCATGAATGCACGGTAGGCATCCGCTTCGTCGTGGAGCAGTCGCGCTTTGAATTTCGGTCCAGGCGGTGTGATGTCTTTAGTTCACTTACGGTAGATCGGCAGGTTGGGAGCCGTGAGGCAAGCAGTTGAGCTGGAGCTTGCGGACAGATGGGTGGGATGATATGCTTAAAAAAATTACCTTGCGGCAGGTTAGCACATTACAGGCATGTAGAGAGGACAGTCAGGCGGTCAGTGGGCCACGGGAATATAATTGCAGGGGATTGGTGCTCAGAGAAAGATAAATTCGTGTTTGGATTTTCATCGACAGGCTGAGAATAACCCTGAACTGCTCAGGAAATGCACGCCATTGGAAATATTTTCTTCATGGCCCAGAGTCGAGGTGTCAGGTTCACAGATCGTGGAGCCCTGGGCGAGCGGTCGTAGTGTTTGAAGTCGCGTTCCCAAAACGATTCCCGAAAGAGAACTGGAAGCACAAGGGAGGAAAGAAAGAACGTTTGTTCGCCAAGACGTGAGCGCAATATCTTCCATGATTCGTCCGTCTCCGCCTGCTGTGCGCAACCCGATTGTTGGCAAGAGCACCAGTTCTTGGAGAACTAACTACTTTTGTGTGATAGCTCCCCTTTTTGACATCCCCCTGCTTTCACCCCGCCGCGGACCTTGCTGCGGCCATGTTTGTGCCAGGAGAGAAAGAAGTGGGTGCAGATGAAGAAAGAGGACCTGCAGCAGATCAACCAGCAGTTCAACCAGATGGAGGCGGTGAGCGAAGTTTGTCGGGTGGCTGGACGGTTTGCGTGCTTGCCGGTATTTTTTTTCTTCGCAAAAGCAATCCTGTATTAATTCTGAGAACGCAGCAGTACAACTCGTGGGAGAAACTTGGGGCGATTGCTATCGTTTCGTTGGCCACCAGGCTGCCCTTGTTGAGTACCGTAGTTTGCATAAGATACCACCCCCCCTGGAGCGATCTTCAAGGCCCGATTAGATTACTCCACGAGGAAGATGGTGCCGAAATCAAACGATGCCGTTTCCGGAAGACGAACCGATTCCAACGCCGCGATTTTCGGCACCGTAACTGCTTCTCCTGCCGAGTTGTAATCGAGCTCTGAAAATCGTCCCAGGGGGTGTGCATCCCAGGTGCTTGGTGAAGCAGAGGTGCCCTAGTAGCGGCGTTGTGAGTTCAGTTCGTGTGTACGCGCGAACGTATGCTCACACACCATCACGACACCGGAAGTGGTCCCGACTTATAGCAAGCCGTATCGTGAAGATTAAATAGTGATCGTTGAACTTAAATGTTGACTCACGAAAGTCCACCCCCCCCCCCCCCCCCCCCCCCCCTTGGGGAGTTTGAGAAGTTTCGGCATATGTTGAATGTGGTGAA